CTACTGCGACTATCACAGATATAATAGTAGTTATGATTGATCTTACTGCGACTATCACAGATATAACAGTAGCAATGATTGATCTTACTGCGACTATCACAGATATAACAGTAGTAATGACTGATCTTACTGCGACTATCACAGATATAATAGTAGTAATGACTGATCTATCAATGCCTTTTGCGGATATAACAGTAGTAATGATCTAACTGTGGCTTTAAGTAACTTGAAACAGGTTGATTACAATGAGCGTATATATCACATACAAAGTGATTTTGCCTAGAAAATGAACTTAACTAAATTAATACCTAATATACAAGTTAGATATAGTGTTACTGGCGATCACTAACATCCAAATATTATCTGAAAGTTAAAATTTATAATGGACCTTACATCGCTACAGCAGTTCGAATCGCAACCTATATTAATTCAGACTGTGGTGCTGAACACTTAATTGGAAAATACGCATATCCTAATATGGTAGCGTGCATTCATAGTTTGAGTTTTATAACAATATTGTTTGCTCTAGGAAATGATTTTGTGATTATTCTGAAGCTACTATCCTCTCTCAATAGATGACACATGCAACGTCCCTGAGGTTCTTCGATGTTCGATACCAGTGACCATGTTTGTATTGAAAAAAACATTCGGAATGGTTCCACAAGAGGGTGATGATTGCAGGTGATTTGAGCTTATTTACCAAATTATTTTAGCATAACTCTATATCCCTGTACATAGTCAGATTATTTTGCATACCTTTATATTTTTCTTGGAAACCTGATTTTGGATAGTTTTCCTCCAGCGTCTGTCTGCGTCTCTAGAATATTATTTTGATGAAAAAACAAATACTTTGATAATTCTTATCTCCGCTACATCATATCCTTAGTTTCAAACTAAGAATGAATAATCTAGTCAGGAATACAACAGGAAAATCATAACAAAACATTAAGGGATGGTAGCCAGTCAATGTGTGTATGTGAGGTAAACAAGGGGTGATACACGTAGCAAGTCTATCGGTGTATGAGAAGTATAGAAAGGATATATGTTACTGATTTTAAATGTTGAGATATTTTAAGTATGAATGTCCTATTATATTTGTAACTCTAGAAGCTTATCATATACATCGTCTCAAAACGGTATTACGGAGTTCATAATAGTTCACCGACATCAGGGAAAGCCATGCCCTAAAGTTCGCACTTAACTTAAATACTAAAGATAATACATGTATCTAACCCACTGAGATAATACGCGTATCTAACCTACTGAGATAATACATGTATCTAACCCCCGGAGATAATACATGAATCTAACTTACTGAGATAGTACATGTATCTAACCTACTGAGATATTACATGTATCTAATCGACTGAGATAATACGTGTATCTAACCTATTGAGATAATACATGTATCAAACCCCCTGAGATAATACGTGTATCTAACCTACTGAGATAATACATTATCAAACCCCCTGAGATAATACGTGTATCTAACCTACTGAGATAATACATGTATCTAACCCCCTGAGATAATACATGTATCTAACCTACTGAGATAATTCATGTATCTAATCGACTGGGATTATACATGTATCTAACCTACTGAGATAATACATGTATCTAACCCCCGGAGATAATACATGTATCTTACCTACTGAGATAATACGTGTATCTAACCCCCTGAGATAATACATGAATCTAACTTACTGAGATAGAACATGTATCTAACCTACTGAGATATTACATGTATCTAATCGACTGAGATAATACGTGTATCTAACCTACTGAGATAATACATGTATCAAACCCCCTGAGATAATACGTGAATCTAACCTACTGAGATTATACATGTATCTAACCTACTGATATAATTCATGTATCTAATCGACTGATATAATACGTGTATCTAACCTACTGAAATAATTCATGTATCTAATCTACTGGGATTATACATGTATCTAACCCCCTGAGACAATACATGTATCTAACCCCCGGAGATAATACATGTATCTAACCTACTGAGATAATACAGGTATCTAACCTACGGAGATAATAGGTGTATCTACTCTACTGAGATAATACAGGTATCTAATCGACTGGGATTATACATGTACCTCACTGTGTCCGTTTGTCCATCAGTCGGTCCGTCGGTCTGTTGGCCAGTCTGTCCATTCGCACGATTCTTTTTTGAAATTAACTTGGAATTCAAAAGCCAAAAGTTTCTATGAAATTTGATATGGTGATTCACTTTGATATGAAGATGTGCAATAGGGTTCCATTTCTTATAAGGGTCAGGGTCAATGTCACTCTTACATTGCTACTAAAAATAGTGTAAAGTGCTTGGAATCTAAAAGACTAATCTTATTGGAAGTTTACAAGCTGTGATATTGTGATATTGAAAAGTGCAATAGGAATTTGAACAGTGCCTAAGATATCACCATGTATGATCTGCTTGGAATCAATTGCAAACACATTAAGTGAATTTCCCGGTACAATCAACTTTGTAACTATATCGTTACTGTGTGTTCCATGTGACACATCCTCATCAATTATTTTTTCCTGTAAGTAAAACTAACCCCTCTCCGAATGATCTCTTTTAATATAGTGTGTATAAAGTTATAGTGATTCAAATATTAATTTCCTTTTACTAATGTTTGTCAGTTTTGAAACAAGTCCATTTTAAATAAGTCCAAAGATCTGTTTAACCTACCTGACTGAATTGATTTGATACACTGATATGTATGCTTTATTTCCATTTCATGTTAAAGGATAATGGAAACTTTCCTGACATGCACTCGACCCTTCCGCACCGAATGTATCCCAAATCGTGTTATAATAGAGAGAATAAGCAACATGATCAACGTTTTAGATACAGAGAACTGTGGGCCACCAGGTAAGTAACCTTTCAGAAATAAAGATATCTGCTAGACAACATGTAAATCTCTTTCATAAATCTAGTATCTCAAGTATTATTTCAGCGAGATTTGGTCGCATTAAACGACAACAAATGGATGACTTTTATAATTCCATATCAACAAGATATTAAATCAAGATATTTTCTATAGCATAACTAAGAATAGGTGTCCATTTCTCTAGCCAAATATAGTAACGATACCTACGTGTAGATGTTTGTATTAAGTTTGTTTACCTATTGTTACAAGATGTATCAGAATTACTAATGCATATGATGAACAATGATACCGGTATATTTAAAAATCGGTGAAAATGTTTTTGGCTTCATCATCGTGGTTGAAAAAGAAATCAAACATGCAAACTGTTTTAATGCCACACAACAGATCCATACTGAATTTCCTTTTTAGCTATTGCATGGTGCGGCGTCCGTCGTCCGTTCGTCGTCCGTCCGTCCGTCGTAAACATTTTACTTTAAACAACTTCTTCTCAGTAACCAACAGGCCTACGGTGATGCTATTTAGCCAGAAGCATGCTGGGATGAAGGGCTACCAAGTTTGTTCAAATAAATGACCTTCATCCATTTTCAAGGTCACATGGGTCAAATATGTTAAATTCCTTAAACAACTTCTTCTGGATAACCAAGAGGCATAGGGTGATGATATTTGCCAAGTAACATGCTGGGATGAAGGGCTACCAATTTTGTTCATATAAATGACCTTGATTTATATTCAAGGTCACATGGGTCAAATATGTTTAGAACCTTTCAACAACTTCTTCTGAATAACCAAGAGGCCTAGGGTGATGATATTTGGCCTATAACTTGCTGGGATAAAGGGCTATCAAGTTTGTTCAAATACATGACCTTGGCTTATATTCTAGGTCACAGGGGTCAAATATGTTTAAAACATCTAAACAACTTCGTCTGAATAACCAAAAGGCCTAGGGTGCTTAAATTTGGCCAGTAACCTGCTGGGACGAAGGGCTACCAAGTTTGTTCAAATAAATGACCTTGATTTATATTCAAGGTCACAGGGATCAAATATGTTTAAAACCTTTAAACAACTTCTTCTGAATAACCAAGACGCCTAGGGTGCCTAAATTTGGCCAGTAACATGCTGGGATAAAAGGCTACCAAGTTTGTTATATAAATGACCTTGGTTTATATTCAAGGTCACAGGGGTCAAATATGTTTAAAACCTTTCAACAACTTCTTCTGAATAACCGATAGGCTTAGGGTGAAGATATTTGGCCAGTAACATGCTGGGATGAAGGGCTACCAAGTTTGTTCAAATACATGACCCTGACTTATATTCTAGGTCACAGGGGTCAAATATGTTTAAAACGTTTAAACAACTTCTTCTGAATAATCGAGTAGCCTAGGATGATGATATTTGGCAAGTAGCATGCTGGGATGAAGGGCTACAAAGTTTGTTCAAATGAATGACCTTCATCCATTTTCAAGGTCACAGGGGTCAAATGTCTTAAAATCTTCAAACAACTTCTTCTCAATAACCAAAAGGCTCAGGGTACTGATATTTGGCCTGTAGCAATCAGGGCTACCAACTTTGTTCAAATGAATGATCTTGACCCACTTTCAACCTAATGTCATTGTTTGACATTCAAGGTCACACTGATATTCTGCCTGTGGCTGTATTTTAGTCCACTTTTAAGATTACAAGTGTGAGGTTAATACCAGGTGAGCGATGCAGGCCCATTGGGCCTCTTGTTTTATTGTATAAGCCGGCGTGAGTTTCCTTATCGTTCAAAACAATGCTTCTATAACTTATCAAGTGTACATGTCATATTTTGAACTTGACGATCAACAGTCGATGCGATAATAAGTCTTGCAGCATTTTATGTCTACTTGTATGCTGTCAAAGAATGGCATATGTCAAATGTCATATAAAGTATACTATTTTAGATTATAAATAAGCATGATGAATATTTTTCAATTCAGAAATATCTTTATTAAAGGACGTGTGAAAATGTACAACTTTTAATTTTTCAAATAGATTCAATATTCAGTATTTAAGAGTTTTTACTACTGTTTACATAGCTACGACTCCTCAGCCATGCACTCATGCTGATATTCAGAATGGAGAGGTTTTACTGTGGCCAAACTATCCATTTAGTGCATCGAGTACAGAGACAATAGAAGAATGCGTTGAAGCTGTGTGTCGCCCACCTTTGTATGGTACAATAACAGAAGCAGGAATTTCACGAAGGTTATCTGAAGACGAAGACCGTGGCTTTGATTGTAGATCCTACGACAAAGGATCAATCGCAGCCGTTCTAGAGAACCCGGGCAGTACATTCCATAAATGTATTTGTGAAGGTAGGTCAATGAAACGATCAAAGTCAAGGGAAAGGTACGGACATTTAAACCGATGTTCTCAGGGATCTCTTCCATATCTCTCAACCTGATCAAAATATATGACATGTTAGCTATGCCTGCGTTTTCGTTGTTGGAAAACTTTGCGGAAGAGCTTTACAATTAATAAAATAAATAAATAGCTGAGTATTAACCCGTCAAAAGAATACTTCAAACAGCTTTGTGTGAATAACATTGTTTCTCATGTATGTTAAGGTTACACCTGTGGACTAGGATCGACGAGGTGCCCCGTCTCCGGAGAATGTATAGTCAATGAAAATGTATGTGATAATCAACCCGACTGTAATGATCAGTCAGACGAGGCTAACTGTGGTAAGTGTTCTTTAGCACTAGTCGTATTGAATAAAATTAGATAATGCCCATACATTATCGTCCCTGGACATTATTCAATGTATATCAGTCTATTGGTATCACTTTAATTTAAACTCGCAATGTCGGCCTTATGCTTTTCATTTCAATGGTGGGCTCCTGACCCGCACTAGTCGTCTGCAGAGGGTCCAGAACACTGCAGCACGGCTGGCTACTCGTACTCGAAAGAGAGAGCACATCACACCTGTGCTATACTCATTGCACTGGTTACCTGTGATGTACGATACAGGTCACAGTACAAAATGTTGGTGTACACATACAAGGCACTAAATGGAACAACTCCCAGTACTTACTGGAGCTTGTTACCCTGTATCAGCCGTCACGATCACTGCGGTCGGAGTCAGAATCATTGTTATGTGTTCCAAAATCTGTGACCTATGGAAACTGGTGCTTTGGGAGGGTTTCGGCCACGTTGTAAAAAAAAACTAGCCATCTGCTATTAGAAAGTCAAATACCCTGGCCAAATTCAAGAGGGACATCGAAACTCACCTCTAAACTGCTGCATTATAGGCTCTTTGCAAAGACGTCATGTAAATACCACCCGTTATTTGTTGAAATGTATAAATGTCATTGTATGCCTTTGTTTTTTGTAAAGCGCTCTAGAGTTATTTTACAAATTACATAGGGTGCTATATAAATGTTGTATAATATTATTAATAATAATTATCGGTCTAATGTGTTCCACTTAAGTGTTTGCGTCGTGAGCCGCACGTAAATACATATGTACTAACTTAGTGTGTTATATTTAAGCATCAGTCTACTGTGTAATACTTAAATGACGACATAACGAGTCTAACATAAAGTTTAGCCTCCCATGTCACAATAAGTATATCGACTTACGTGTATCACTTTAATATAAATATCCTATTGACATTTAAGTGTATCGACTTACGTGTTTCACTTAAATATAAGTCTCCTATGTCACACTAAATATATTGCCTTACGTGTATCACTTAAATATAAGTCTCCTATGTCACATTTAAATATATCGACCTACCTGTATTACTTAAATATAAGTCTCCTATGTCACATTTAAATATATCGACCTACGTGTATTACTTAAATATAAGTCTCCTATGTCACACTTAATATATCGACCTACCTGTATCACTTAAATATAAGTCTCCTATGTCACATTTAAATATATCGACCTACCTGTATCACTTAAATATAAGTATCTTATGTCACATTTAAATATATCGATCTACCTGTATCACTTAAATATAAGTCTCCTATGTCACATTTAAATATATCGACCTACGTGTATCACTTAAATCTCCTGTGTCACACTAAATATATTGACTTAAATGTATCACTTGAATATAAGTCTCCTATGTCACTTTTAAGTATATTGAACTACGTGTATCACTTGAATATAAGTCTCCTATGTCATACTTAAGTATATCGACCTATGTGTATCACTTAAATGTGAGGCTCCTATGTCACACTTAAGTATATCGACCTATGTGTATTACTTGAATGTAAGTCTCCTATGTCACACTTAAGTATATCGACCTATGTGTATCACTTAAATGTGAGTCTCCTATGTCACACTTAAGTATATCGACCTATGTGTATTACTTGAATGTAATTCTCCTATGTCACACTTAAGTATATCGACCTATGTGTATCACTTGAATGTAAGTCTCCTATGTCATACTTAATAGATTGACTTAAATGTAAGTCTCCTATGTCACACTTAAGTATATCGACCTATGTATATTACTAGAATGTAAGTCTCCTATGTCACACTTAAGTATATCGACCCATGTGTATCACTTGAATGTAAGTCTCCTATGTCACACTAAGTATATCGACCTATGTATATTACTTGAATGTAAATCTCCTATGTCACACTTAAGTATATCGACCTATGTTAGTCACTTAAATCTAAATCTCCTATGTCACACTTAAGTATATCGACCTATGCATATTACTTGAATGTAAGTCTCCTATGTCATACTTAAGTATATCGACCTTTGTATATTACTTGAATGTAAGTTTCCTATGTCATACTTAAGTATATCGACCTTTGTATATTACTTGAATGTAAGTTTCCTATGTCATACTTAAGTATATCGACCTTTGTATATTACTTGAATGTAAGTCTCCTATGTCACCCTTAAGTTTATCGACCTATGTGTATCACTTGAATGTAAGTCTCCTATGTCACACTAAATAGATAGACTTAAATGTGAGTCTACTATGTCACACTTAAGTATATCGACTATGTGTATCACTTGAATATAAGTCTCCTATGTCACACTTAAGTATATCGACCCATGTGTATCACTTGAATGTAAGTCTCCTATGTCATACTTAATCGATTGACTTAAATGTAAGTCTCCTATGTCACACTTAAGTATATCGACCCATGTGTATCACTTGAATGTAAGTCTCCTATGTCATACTTAAGTATATCGACCTTTGTATATTACTTGAATGTAAGTCTCCTATGTCACACTTAAGTCTATCGACCTATGTATATTACTTGAATGTAAGTCTTCTATGTTACACTTAAGTATATCGACCTATGTATATTACTTGAATGTAAGTCTCCTATGTCATACTTAAGTATATCGACCTTTGTATATTACTTGAATGTAAGTCTCCTATGTCATACTTAAGTATATCGACCTATGTATATTACTTGAATCTAAGTCTCCAATGTCATACTTAAGTATATCGACCTATGTGTATTACTTGAATATAAGTCTCCTATGTCACACTAAATAGATTGACTTTAATGTGAGTCTACTATGTCACACTTAAGTATATCGACTATGTGTATCACTTGAATATAAGTCTCCTATGTCATACTTAAGTATATCGACCTATGTGTATCACTTGAATGTAAGTCTCCTATGTCACACTAAATAGATTGACTTAAATGTGAGTCTACTATGTCACACTTAAGTATATCGACCTATGTGTATTACTTGAATGTAAGTCTCCTATGTCACACCAAATAGATTGACTTAAATGTGAGTCTACTATGTCACACTTAAGGATATCGACCCATGTGTATCACTTGAATATAAGTCTCCTATGTCACACTTAAGTATATCGACCTATGTTAGTCACTTAAATCTAAATCTCCTATGTCACACTTAAGTATATCGACCTTTATGTGTCAATGCAATATGAGCCTCCTATATCACCCTGGATATATTGGCCTTATGTATATTATTTAAATATAAACCTGTCTCCTTAGAAGATAACAGCATACCTTTAATCAGAATCAGATATTCAATTTGTGGTCTTTTGTTTTTGTAGATGAAGTGATGATCAAAACAGAACGTGATAGCAGTGGGATTGTGATGATGAAGTATCGCTCACTAACAACACTGGTGTGTGATGATGGCATGAACTTCTCCAACCGTGTAGCCGATGTGATCTGTAAAGAGATGGGATTTAGGTGCATATGATTTACATTCACATGTTTTAGCATATATTTATATAAATATAATATTTGTCATCCTAAACACGCATTCCTCCTCCCAAACATTCTTTCCCCAACATTTATTTCTTCTCCGACACACACATTCCTTCTCACACACACATTCCTCCTCCCACACACATTCTTCCTCCAGAACAAATTCCTCCTCTCACACACATTCCTCCTCCCACACACATCCCTCCTCCAACAGACATTCCTCCTCAAACACACATTCATCCTCCCACACACATTCACCCTCCCACACACATTTATCCTCCCACACACCTTCATCCTCCCACACACATTCATCCTCCCACACACATTCATCCTCCCACACATATTCACCCTCCCACACACATTCATCCTCCCACACACATTCCTCCCCTACAGACATTCCTCCTCAAACACACATTCATCCTCCCACACTCATTCACCCTCCCACACACATTCCTCCTCCCACACACATTCCTCCTCCAACACACATTCCTCCACCAACACACATTCCTCCTACCACACACATTCCTCCTCTTTTATACATTCAAACTCGAACATACAATCCTCCTCCCACACAAATTCCTTCTCCCACACTCATTCCTCCTCTCACACACATTCCTCCTCTCACACACAATGCTCCTCCCACACACATTCCTCCTCTCACACACATTTCTCGTCCCACACACATTCTTACACATTCCTCCTCCCAAACAAATTTTACCTCCCACAAACATTCTTCTTCCCATACATTATCCTCCTACCAAACACGCATTCTTCGTATTTCGAAACATTTTTCTCAGTTTGATAACTATGAATTGTAGAAAGATTATGTATCGCAACCAATACGTGTCTATGTATGACGTGACAATGACTAGTACGATACGTGCACTGTCACCTTCATCAAACAAATTTGTGATTGTCGGATGAATGTGATAGGGTACATTTATGTGTAAGTCACCGAAACGTCACACATAAACACTTACACTGTACTTACACATTCATTCCTCCTCCCACACACTTGTTCCTTCAAACATACATCCCATCTCCTACTCACACATTCCTGTTCCCGCCCACACATTTTCAGAGGAAGGGTTTACTCTTAAATTATTCTGCTTTTACTTTCATCGAAAGCGTCAATCTCTCATTTTTGTTTATTGAGAGTGTTGAATTTATCGGAAAACAATATGAAAAGTAGAACTCATAAATCCACATGGTAAACACAATAAAACAACGCTTGTATTTCAACCTTATCAGCATATGATATCAAAATTCACCGTTTTGATAAAAGTTGTATGATACGTAATGATTAAAGGTTTGAATTCATATGTAATTTGGCGTTTTCCAGAGAGATGCCTGCATCAAGTTTATTGCTTAAGTTATAAGTTATAAGATTTTTGTAATACCAAGCATTTTGATACAAGCGTCCATGAATAAAACAAACAAAAAACACCTCAAAACATCCTGGTAATATTACATGATGTGTCTATTTGCATGTTCTAGGAGTGGCGTACGGTCGGCCTCGGGGAGGAAGGTACTGGATACTCAGGCATGGCTCACCCTTCGTTGTGATGAGTCAGCAACACAAATGTCTGACTGTGACCAAGAGTGGCTGGTGTCTCGATACGCATGCGCTGGCATGATACCTGCGGCTGTCAATTGTTATTCTTAATGAAACCCGTGTTATATACGCTGTAACATTTTATGTCTGTTTTTTCTTACTTCTTGATATATATAATTAGTTCAGATTAACATTTATAAGTCAATATAATATCGAATATTTGTTACTATGTAACGGACAAGGTAACCTTTAGATAAAGCTGATAATGCATGCTATCGTGGCTGTTTTACGTTTCAATACGATGTTTTCAATATTATGCACTATGTTCTTTAACTTAATTATACAATAACTCTGTCTGACGAGGAATGTCGTGAGGAATGTCGTGAGTGTAATCTGTATCCATATGTAATTGACCTCTGATATTTAACAAAAAATTCTAGACGGATGCAAATTATGTATGTAATTGGTGGATGTTTTCAACTGTCTCTAATAAACTTTATTTTTCCATAGAGCATTTGTTGATTTATTTTTCAATATTCCTGGCGGTTAAGATGTAACAAATAATGTAAATGTTATTTTACATTTTATGTATAGATTTACATGATGTATATACATGCATTTTAATTTATATTTTTTGTTTGTTAGAAGGAGATCAAATATACATACCCTCAGTGGTTTGAATTGTGTATTCTTATCGTTTATGCGGTTTTAAAATGACATTTATGACTACAATGCGCAAGATATCTTTACAGGTTGTGTGATAACCACTCTGATTACAATATATGAAATCAATATAATGTTGTGCAAGTGATATGGATTATAGAATCTAAAAGTGTAACTTTTATCTTCAACTACTGTATGTCTTTTGAATGGAAAAGGTTAGATTACAAGCTTTACATAGCTTAGGGGAAGAAGCCTACTCCCATAACATAGCAACAAATCCGATGTATATCCTTAAACAACACGTTGCAAATATATCTACAAACAACACATCGAATATATATCTACAAACAACACATCGAATATATATCTACAAACATCACATCGAATTTGTGTCTACAAACAACACAACGGATGTATATTTATAAACAACACATCGAATATATATCTACAAACAAAACATCGAATTTGTGTCTACAACACATAACATCGAATATATATCTACAAACAACAAAATGAATATAAATCTACAAACAACACACCTGATGTATATTCATAAACAACAAATCCAATTAATATCTTTAAACAACATATCTAGTATTTCTATATACAAGCAACACATCGAATATATATCTACAAACAACACAACGGATGTATATTTACCAACAACAAATCCAATGAATATCTTCAACCAGCACATCTTATGTACAAGCAACACATCGAATATATATCTACGAACAACAAAACTAATGTATATCTACAAACAAAACATCGAATATATATTTGCCAACAATACATCGAATGCATCTGTATTTCCCCCATAAGAGACTTATTCTTTTAACAAACTAATATTCATACATTCATATTATTATATTAAACACGAAACATATCCATATGTTTACATTCTTGATGTGTATTCTGTACATGAATCTACCAACTGAAAACAACTGCCATTAGACTATGAATACACTATGAATACAAAAATTATCGTGCAACCAGTCAGCTGATTTCACACACAATGACAAATCATATTACTACGCGTTTCTGAGTAGAGTTATATCCCATTCTCCGAGATAACGTAGTTGCGAGAAATAATTATAAACATTGCGAAAATAATAAATGGTGCACCATTGTACTATTATTATTAATTTCTTTATTTGAAATTAAAAAACAATGTTTATAACATAGCCATATCAAATACTGATACTGACTTCCGACTCGCAATCGGTTCCTCGTGGTCACGAACTTCCTAACACCAAACGTCCGGCTGGGTAACCCCCGTGACATCAATTTGCACATTAAACCCAGAGAACTTAGTAGTGACACATGGTACTTCATCCATTAATTTATCATCATTTACATCTGCCGTATTTTTGGCAAATAGCATATTCCACGGCTGTACATTTAACTTCAAATGAGCCCTCTACCTAATGCCGACGGGTGTCCTGGATAGTTATTATGGTGACCGATGATTTGAAATAGTGCGGACATCAACTTTTTAAAATATATAATATGCGGTGTTAGATGCCAAAAAAAATTTCAAATAAGATCAATTTTTAAAAAAGAAAGGAATATCAAGTGTTAGTTATTAGATTCTAGATACATATTTTTCGTTTCAACAAAAACAGCTGATCGGCGGAAGTTGAACATTGGAAGTTTGTGTGTAGGCTGGAGTTCTGACTGTTCCTTTTATATGGTTTTCTGTCCGATACTTATATCAAAAATAATAAATTTACAAAAAGTGTTGTAACCTTTTTTTATTGTAGTCCACCGTAACGTAAATATATGAATTGAATGATTATTTTCCAAGTACATTGCGGCAATGGATAGCAGTAGCTGATCTACATATCTTCTGAGGATATGTAGATCAGCTACTGTTATCCATTGCCGCAAACTACATGAAACAAAATCCATTCAATCCCTATATGTAAGTACTTACCTAAATGACGGAAATGACTCAATTCCGCGGTTAATATGTCACTAGATGAGTGATGATTGATGTCGACAAGACAAAATCAACCGCGGAAATCGACGTAAGGGAAACGGATTGATGGGGTGCGGACCCCCTGAGATGGCTATAAAGATGACATGAGTTAGCACTGAGGAATCATTTCACCCATCGAATCGGATTCATCGAACGCACGTAACAGGTTTATAACATCCTACTCTAACGTACCATTTCGAAAATTTGTAAGTATGCACAGATTCCAGCTCAGCCTTTCTATATATAATTCATTTAATCTTTGAAGATAAACATAAGACACCTACAAGTGATTGCACTTTTTAGGTAATATATACAGTGTGCCAAAATTAATAAAACACTGCATTATACAGATGTTATGCGAATACAATGTTCTATATCACAGATAATAACGTCATTAGTACCTGTTATCGAATAGTGTTATTTTTAAACAGAATAAAATCGGTATGTCTTAAAAATATAGAGTATATGTCTCATTTCAATATGTCAGGTTTTAAACACTTATTAATAACAAGAAATTGTCGTTTAAATATTTTTCCAGAAACAATTCACAAGTACCAAAATGTCATACAAAATGTAGATTATTTCTATTTTCGGGAAACGAAAGAGGAAATTTATTTCTATTATGTAAGGTTGGATGTCACAAAGTTATTCTATTATGTATGGTTGGGTGTCACGAAGTTATTCTATTACATTTTGTATGTATGGTTGGGTGTCACAAAGTGATTATATTATTTAAGGTTGGGCGTCACAAAGTTATTCTATTATGTAAGGTTGGGTGTCACAAAGGTATTCTATTATGTAAGGTTGGGCGTCACAAAGTTATTCTATTATTTAAGGTCGGGTGTCACCAAATTATTCTATTATGTATGGTTGGGTGTCACAAAGTGATTATATTATTTAAGGTTGGGCGTCACAAAGTTATTCTATTATGTATGGTTGGGCGTCACCAAGTTATTCTATTATGTATGGTTGGGTGTCACAAAGTAATTCTATTACATTTTGTATGTATGGTTGGGTGTCACAAAGTAATTCTATTACATTTTGTATGTATGGTTGGGCGTCACAAAGTTATTCTATTACATTTTGTATGTATGGTTGGGTGTCACAAAGTTATTCTATTATGTATGGTTGGGTGTCACAAAGTTATTTGTTAAAACAGTTTGATAATGTTTACACCAAATGTCCATTTGTCAAATGTCTCCAATATCAAATTGAATTAATTCCTTCGAATAAATAAATACTCAGATGAATCAACACGAATGTTCTGAGAGTAATATTGTATCTGATCAATATAAATTTCCTGGCCCACATCCACTACAGTTATATAAAAACGATGGAAATGGAAAGTAACTGTAAGTTTGAAAAATTACAGAAGAACTGTATAGTTTTATGACTGCAATGGGGAAAAGATCGGTGACAAATAATCATTATATTGACATTTAACGAACAAAATGAGTATCAAATACCTAGGCTAACGCCATGCACATTAATTACATTTTACCAGTCAAATAGCAGGCATTATTTATGTGATAAAAAACTTAGATGAAGCGAAGTCAGAATAAGTAGTTGCTTTGGTATGCCTTTGCAACATTCATTATGGTATTTATTATGGCTATACAATTCAAACTATTTTTCTTTCTTTTATCGAAATCTTACCAGTTAATTCTTACAATGCATTTTTTTTACGAAACCCGTTTCGTTCTTGCGTCCGTATAGGTGTTTTAGGCATTTCTAGTCAGTTATTATAACCTACCATTTTAGTTAACTATATTTGTATCGCTGTAGTCTTCGCTGTAATTGTTATGCTAATGACACACAAATACATGGTCATCAAACCACAGGACAGTTGGGATACAATATAATAAAATCTGGAAACTTGTCTGACAGATATCAGTACCTTGATGAACGCCAACATGCTAAAGCTTAATCAGGAAAGACGGAACTAATCGTCTTTTCCCCATAATATCAGCAAACAATGGCTCTCTAGCTCAAGGTCGGTGCCAGAACTATCGAGACTGTCCCAGGTGTTAAAAGCCAAGGGGTATACTTTGATAATTCACTGAACATGGAGAAACAAGTGAACGCTATTGACAAATCCTTTTACTACCAGATCGGGAACATCTACTGTATCCGGCAGTGTATAACTGCAGATCCATGCAAGATGTTGGTGCATTCACTTGTTACCTCTTGGCTGAATTACGGTAATGCCCTGCTATGAGGTTTATATGAAAACACTAACTTGTCTTCTGCAGAGGGTCAAGAACACTACAACACGCCTGGTTACTCGTACTCGAAAGAGAGAGCACATCACACTGTTATATTCAGTGCACTGGTAACATTTACGATACAGGTCGCAGTACAAAATTGTGGTGTACACGTACATACAAGGCACTGAATGGAACAGCTCCCCAGTACCTACAGGAGCTTGTAACCCTGTATCAGTCGTCACGCTCACTGCGGTCGGAGACAGAATCATTGTTGTGTGCCCCAAAATATCGTACTGTGACCTATGAAAACCGGTGCTGTTGGAGGGTCTCGGCCACGGTGCAAAATAGCTTACCAGATGCTATAAGAGTCAAATACCCTGGCCAAATTCAAGAAGGACATAAAAACGCACCTCTGCACATCTGCATTTTCGGCTCTTTGCACAGACGTCATCTACATACTACCCTTTATTTGATTATCTCTTTGCTTAATGTATAATTGAGATTGTAAGCATTTTTTGTTTCACAGATATAACTAATACCATTACCCATATGTTGTAAAGCGCTTTAGAGTTATTTTACAAATTATATAGGGCGCTATATAAATGTTGACTTTTATTATTAATAGCGGCATTTTCAAAATTGCGGTTTGCACTGTGGTGAAGCGAGCGTCAAATTTTATGCTTCCCAGTCCCGCACATTGAAGCGTCATTTAAGTTGTGTTATTTTCAAAAGAATACTTAGAGAACAAATAATGTGTTGATGGCAGAATATCGATTGTTTTTTCGCGAGCGAATCACGAGAAAATATCGGTATATTCTCCAACTTGAATTTCATTAAATATATATCAACGACATTTTATTGTAAAAGATGACAACTTCTTCCCGTCCCAGATTAAGATATGAAGATTGTTGGCATTGCGCTGGTGTGCCTCTTTGTCGGGTGTAATGTGACATTTGCTGATATTGACATTGATGACGCGTCATCACTCATACTGCCTTTCGGACTCATTGCCTTGTCTACGCAACCCCAGCTGTTCGGAGGCGTGAACACAATCGGATCCGGGTACGAATCACCGTTCAATGGAAGAGGTAAGTACATAACGACACTGTGCACAATGCTCGTGCATCTGTATCTATATACTGGCCAATACGTTTGGCATTCCAACATCAAAATCATGTCACAATTTTATAAAGTTTAATACATATTCAAATACATCATTTTCACCAACATGTTTATTGTACCGATATAGGAGCACTAGTACCAATGTCATATCATTAATAAGATGTCAATAAACACTCATGTATAATGTAATATATATAGAACTATATGTATGATATACTACTGATAATACACCCATATTACACTGCCAGCACATCATATAGTTATAAGTTATGATTTGTAAACCAATTGCAAAATAAATCAGGAACTGTTTTTGCTAAATATTTGTCATCTCTGAAAACAGGAGGCAACGTTTTATAGATGAAATAGCAATCCCATTTCAGTTTAATGTACTTCCTGTTGCAGGTATATTGCTGATTGCAGCGTTGTCATTCTTGTGGTTAAAGGTAGGTAAAGTGATATCATGTTACAGATTAGAAATACTAGAAGTGATATATATATTATATGATAGTAATGCAAATGAAGCAACGGTATAATAAGTGATTGCTAAGTTAATCAATTGATTGGAATTTGTAAACAAATAGAAAAGAAACATACAATATAATAGAATCATACGATATAATTATGTTGAATAGTAGCCCTATCCAAATGACACATAGCTTTGTTGTCCATGGTGATGTCATTTGAATATGGCACCAACATTTACTCTATTGATTACAACGCTTTTCGATTTTTCGTCTTTGAACTTTAGAAGTGTAATAAATATATGTTTATGGTTTTCTATTGCGTTGAAAAATACACCAGGATTTTCACTGCTGTATATGCACTATATCAATGTTATAGACCGAAGACCGACAACTTATTGGTTTTCTCATTAAATACAACAAAAACACCACTTGAATCGCCGAACACCGATATTTCCTCACTCATGATTATGTTCGTGAAGAATATTGATTTTCTGCCATCATCGAAAAATATATGTTATCTAGCGGAGAACCATTAAATATTCTCTATGCAAGTTTGTGGTGTATAGAGGTAGATATCATAAACTTGTATCTATCATATAATGGGAAAAGTGGTAAATGTATAACATATATAATGGTATAAATTATATGTGTTATATATAGTAACAGTGGTATAATTGTAGTAACAATCTCCTACGAATCAAAGTCGTAACATTAGTTACGATATTATAATTTTTATACTGGAATTGTTGTTAGATTATGAACTAATAGGTGTACAAGTAAGTTACTGCAGAGGTATAAAGTATGATTAAAAAGTTTATTAGAACCCAAACATTTAGAGAGGTGAACGTTTGTTATCTCTTTATATGAATAAAAAGGGAAATAAAGTAATTTTAATTTATTTATTTTTAAATTTATTTTGAGATACTATCATCTCTTTTTAATATTATGTCATTTAAATAACGTTGTTGCAATAATATAATTCTAGATTTTTAACATATTTAGCATCACAATTGTATCATACATTTTTAAGAACATTTTATTTATGCAAGTAACCTGATGATATTATCTATTTTCAGCTTAAAGATGACAAGTAAGGTGCCACACCACTTCCTGCTAAACTTCCATTGATCAACAAACGCCTGTCTCACTCGATGCTTTATCATTCATTTGAAATCCATGTTAAAATGTTAATAAACTATAGTGTTATATAGAGAACATGTTAACAGTCTTATCTGTTACCCATCATCCTTGTGGGGTTACAGAAGCCGTCTTCTTCTGTTCGTATACACTATCGTTTACTCATAAGCACCATAGCGTAATCTCACTGGGATAAAATGTGTGGATAGTGTAGTGAAATTGGCCTCATTGGGTATATCTTAAAACATATCAAATGTCCATTATAACTATGGTACGAATGGTTCTATCCGATAACATTTCTTCTTCGCTTCAAAGAATATCATAATTGGTTCGAAAGAAATCAACTTAATAATGCACATACAAATGTATGCAAAACTCTAATACTTTCTATTAAATATACAGGGAAATAAACATAACCTGTGCATTTCGTTTAAATGGCCAAAACGACAGGTTTTAGTATAAACGCGTGAGTCACCATTCAACATATCATTTGTTTATAAATCGATGTAAACCTTTTATAAAAGTGTAGACAGTACACATCTCCTCGCCTTGTATCCTGACATTGTTGTGCACGTCTTTATTCTGCTTATTATGAAAAATTCCTTCAAATGAAGAACGTTAATGTTGGGGGAACCACAAGCACTACCCAATTATATGTCTTTACTGTCAGTAAAGTTGTGAGTCACAATTACATAACTGTCCGTGTGACACTATGTAATAACCACAATATGACTGATGCAACATGAATGTTTAGGAGCACAGACAACCACGGCACGATAGGACACAAACTTTTCTGAGTTTCGCCCTAGAGAAACGGCATTGATCAACAGGAAGCAAGCATTTCCAGGTTCCTTTAATCAAGGCTAATGGAAATAACCAAATATATTAAACAAGCAACAGAACAACAGCATATTATATAAAAATGTAAGATAAAACTTGTGGTTTATTTTGAAATCAAGTGATTAATTGTTATCTGGCTCAAAGCATGATAAAATAGCATTATCATTTCATTTCATCAGATTTTATTGACTTTATATATGTCAATTGGATTGGACATCAGGCTAGGTCTATTTAAGTCTTTTCCAAAGTTATTACAAACATTACATATATTCTGTCAGAACAAACCAATTAAACAGTGCAGGGGAGATAACTCCAATTTAGCTTGTGAAATGAACATTTTCAACTTTGCTTTAATCATTTTCTGTTTATGTTTTAGATATTAATAATTTAACAAATCATGTATATTTATTGACAACCCATACTACATAAAATCCAAGGGATACAGGCCCAAAAGTCTTTGTGTATAAACACATTGGCTATCCACCCACTGGATATATAGGATAAGTTACCAAGAAATAAACATTTTGTAAAATTTCAGAATATGATATGGATTCATATAGGAAAATGTAGTTGTTATTATATATTATTGGAGTTGATTCTCTTAAAAATTATTTTACAAGGCACTATAGAATATTCATGTAACTATGAAATAGTTAGAACAGGTTATAAAATAGTACACTCATAAATTCCATCCAGTCCAGCCGAATACCAGAGATGTTGTGAAGATAGATATACACCAGTATCAATACTTATTAGCAGAGTGATCATGACACTATAAATAATAGCATCACTTTCAATGTAAAGATTAGCTGTGAGTGAGATTACATAACAAGCCTATTAGTTTGACAAATGTAGTCAGATATACTTTTTAAAATGGATATGTTAATATCAGCGCTGCATATTAAGCATCCCTTTAATAGAGGTTTTAGATTAAAATGATCATGATTACCAGTTATACCAAATTGAGAAATTTTTATTACTAATTGCATTCTAAAGTTGTTATAGAGTGGGCATTCAAATATAAAATGAAATGCATTTTCATTTTCATGTCCACATCTACATGCTGGTGTTTCATTCAGATGATCCATATATAAGTCACTATTTAGGTTGCTAGCATGATTTCTCAGCTGACAAATTATGATATTGAATTTTCTTGGCCCATAGTATTTAAATGTGCTAGCAATTTCTTCAGTGTTGTTCATATTATCAGATTTGATGAAATTTTTAAATTGTTGAAGGGAAGTAGCATTTAAGGTTTCTGCAGATAGAAGGTTAAATTCTCTACACATTGAGGGAAAATAACTATTGAAATAATTCTCAGTTCTACAGAAAGGGGGATTGAAAATACGGCTATTTCTTAGTGGGTATCTTACATTTATATTGCTGTGAAGGTATGGTTCAATGATGTCTTCTAAGTACTTAGGCGATTCATTATTTAAAATTTTGAACATAAGTGCTAATTTATGATTTTTTCGCCTACAACAAAGTGATTCAAGTCCAGTTTCTGCATAAAGCTTACAATGAGAGGTCCCTCTACGCAGTCCTGTAATAATTCTTAATGCCTCGATCTGGATTGACTCAAGAATATTTTTATTTTGGTTACTACAGTTATCCCATACTACATCCCCATATTCAAGTATTGGTCTAATAAAAGAGGTATATATTGTTATAAGACTTTTTCTATCCAATTTGTGTTTTAACATTCTCAATATATTCATTCTTTTATAAGCTAGCTCATAAATATTGTCAATATGATATGTCCATTTTCCATCACTACTAAAAGTTAAACCAAGATGCTTATGAGTTTGTTTATTAGTTACAGTTTCATAACCAAATAAGATATCTGGATGATTTTGTTCCCTTTTCCTTGAGAAGATTACAGATTCAGTTTTTAGTGAATTAAATTTGATATCCCATTTTTTTGCCCATGCATTAATATTACCTAGATCATTATTTAATTTCACTGCAATTTCATTTTGATTGTTGTCTATTACTTCATAGAGAGAAGTATCATCTGCAAAAAGTTTTATTTTACTTGTTACACATTCTGTTATATCATTAATATAGATTAAGAAAAGAAATGGAGCAAGGACCGAGCCTTGGGGTACACCGGCTTTGACATGCTTAAAAGTTGAATAAAACCCCTCTGTTGTTACTCTCTGCTTTCTATCAGAAAGATAATTACTAAACCATTGTAATATTTTCCCTTTTATGCCATACGATTCCAATTTAAAAAGTTAACCCTCATGCCAAACTCTATCAAACGCCTTACTTACATCACAAAATACAAATCTGATTTCATTATTTTGATCCAGGTTATTTACAATAGTGTCATATATAGATAATAACTGGTTTACAGTCGAGTCTCTTGGTAAGAAGCCTGATTGGTGTTTCTTTATGATATCACATTCTTTCATATAATTAAACATATATTTAAAAATAACTTTTTTAAACAATTTTGCTAAAACATGAAGTAATAGATATTGGCCTATAGTTAGAGACATCACTCTGAGCACCCTTACCTTTGTATATTGCATTAATATTAGCTGTTTTCCAAGAAAGAGGTATAATACCAGATTCAATAGTCGAATGATCACAAATGTTCTGTTAGGTCAGGGGTCGAATGATCACAAATGTTCTGTTAGGTCAGGAGTCGAATGATCACAAATGTTCTGTTAGGTCAGGGTCACATCATTTTCAAATGTTCTGTTAGGTCAGGGTCACATCATTATAATAATAATAATAATATACAGCATTTATATAGCGCCCTATATAATTTGTAAAATTACTCTAAGGCGCTTTACAACATATGGATAATAGTAATGGTTATAATTGTGAAAACAAACAACAAAGGCTTGCAATCACTTTTATACATTTAACAAGCAATGTGCACATAATTGAACAAATAAAAGGGTGGTATTTACATGACGTCTTTGCAAAGATTCTAAAATGCAGACGTGAAGAGGTGAGTTTTTATGTCCCTCTTGAACTTGGCCAGGGTATTCGACTTCCTAATAGCAGATGGTAAGCTATTCCACAACGTAGCCGAAACCCTCCCAAAGCATCTGTTTCCGTAGGTCACAGTACGAGATTTTGGGACACACAACAAAGATTCTGACTCCGACCGCAGTGATCTTGACGGCTGATACAGGGTAACAAGTTCCTGTAGGTACTGAGGAGCTGTTCCATTCAGTGCCTTGTATGTGTATACCAGAATTTTGTACTGCGACCTGTATCGTACAGGTAACCAGTGCAACGAATAAAGCGCAGGTGTGATGTGCTCTCTCTTTCGAGTACGAGTAACTAGCCGTGCTGCAGTGTTCTGAACCCTCTGCAGACGACTAGTTAGTTTGTCAGATATACCACAGAGCAGGGCGTTACCATAATCCAACCGAGAGGTAACAAGTGAATGCACCAAAATCTTGCATGCATCTGCAGTTAGAAACTGCCGAATACAGCCGATGTTCCTGATCTGGTAGTAACAGGATTTGGCAATAGCGTTCACTTGTTTCTCCATGTTCAGAGAACTGTCAAAGTATACCCCTAGGTTTTTAACAGCTGGAACAGTCTTAATAGTTCTGGCACCAACCTTGAGCTGGAGAGCCATTGTTTGCTGACACTTTGGGGAAAAGACGATTAGTTCCGTCTTTTCCTGATTAAGTTTAAGCATGTTGGCATGTAAAGCATTCTCAAATGTTCTGTTAGGTCAGGGTCACATCATTCTCAAATGTTCTGTTAGGTCAGGGTCACAAAGTAAAGTTAGAGGACATATTAGAGAAGGTGCTAATTTCTTTATTATCTTGGGTATCATACCATCTGGGCCAAGAGGTTTTTTATCATTAAGTAAACACAGTTGATCTCTAATGTTCTCTTCAGATATGATGATATTGTCTAGAAGGAAGGGAAAAGTATTTTCATGGGGGGTAAGGGGTTCAAGATTTACAGAAGAAGTTGATATTGAGCTGAAGTAGTTATTTAGACGTTCTGCCTTTTCAAATGGATGATGTATTAAGTTATTATTATCAGAAAGAGGAGGAAGACAATTTGATACATTATTTGAATTCATTACAGATCTAGCAATTTTCTACCACTTATTACGAGGCACAGATTGGT